TTTGATAAAAAATGAATACGAGAAGGCGTATTGATGACAATTTATAAATTAAATTTGTAGTCTCGATTAGTTTAAACTTTTAGATGAGGTGATTCATCTCAAAGAAAAGCGTCACTCACATCTATTCGAAATTTCTGATGATAGAGCATTAATTCTTTTCCTCTCATTATCAGGTCTTAAATGTTACCTTGAATCCAGTTTGGAATCGAACATTTGATTTTGCTGTTGATGATGGGTTACATCCATCTCGTAAATATAATAAATATAAAAACAAACAGCATTGCAAAACAATTACAATTGCTCTTGAAAAACAGGCAACAATAAGAGATGGTTACATTTGTTTCGTTCCATTTTCGGAGGGGAATGAACCCTTTACGTGATAAGTCTTGGTAAAGTAAGTAACTTAAAAATAAGTCTGACTTACTTTTAAGCTCATCATAATATTCTACGAAATAAGCTAAGTGTACAGGGTTTTCTTTACAGATTCTTTACAAGTGCTGCTAGATTTGTAGACTTTCTTCTTTCTTTCTTTTTTGCCAACTACCAATCAGATTGCACCAAGTGGAATTCTGTGAAACCTCTATGAATATAACCCTGTACTTGTAGCATTACTCATATTCTACCTATGTCAAGAACAGAATGGGAAGGTGCATCATGACACTCAATTGGGCACCACAACCTTTTATCCGAGACTGATAGGATTGGCACGAAAATTATTGCAACCAATTACATTGTCATTTTGCTCAGAAATTTTTCAGATATGTTCCAAGAAAGTTCAAATGAAGTTTTTGCTATCAATGATGAGTCAAAAAGAAACCATGGGAGAAAAGAATTGACACTAATACTTTCAGAGAAGCAAAATGTGGAATCTTGCATCAATGACAACTTTCGAGCTCTTAAGTTGTTGCATTTGAAATTTACTTGGGCGAGCTTGATGTATCAGTCGATGAAGGCTACTTATGTGATACTCAATTTTGTCGCTCCAAAATGAGAAGATCTCTGTAATTACCATTATATTCTTGATTATGTTGGGCGAGGATCTTTTGGATGAAACCTTTGTAAATCCATTCCCTCTATAAGTTGTTTTGGGATGAAACCTTTGTAAATTCATTCCCTCTATAAGTTGTCCAAATTAATACTATTTTTAGACCCAAGTAGTGGCTATTAGTCATGATGTGTTGGAGATTATTTGGTCCATAATTTGTTGCTCAAATTTGTGAATGCTCTCTAAGCAAAGAAAATGACTTAATTAGTTGGAGTGTGGTTTAATAGTGTAATTCAAAGTTATAAATGACATTAAATTTTAGCTATCAAAGATCAAGTTATTTTAATTTAGTCAAGCAGCAAATTGAACGAAACCTATGCTTTTCTGAATTCAATCTAAAATGTTATGCTGGTCGAAATTTTTTGTTGTTACATTAATCCTCAATCGCTTGTTTAATGATTACTCAATAGAATGCCTTCTAAACAAAGACATTACGAAAAAATAATCGTAAAGTTCTAAATTCGCTCTTCCAGTTTTTGCTACCAAAAATTGCTAATTCTACATCAAACAAGGTCAGATTTAAACAAACATGTGAACTGTCATAACCAAAATGAATTAAATTGAAGTTGGGCGATCAACATGAAATAAATGCGTAAGTTGGGTGACCATTTCCATTAATTAAAAATTCCTTTTTAATATATTAGTACTTTCCACAAAATTTTTGAATATATGATCATTTAATACTCAATTGAACTGAGCATATTCTGTAGCATTATTTTGTTATACTAATCCACTGAGCACAATGACAAATTGACAAGCCAACATCCTAACAATTAAATTTCATTTTCAAACCTGCCAACTTATAAATTCGTTATGAAAAATATATGATAAAACAATAAAGTGACTCATTTTTCCTTATTTATTTAAATAAATATTAGAACAAGTAAGAAGTTAAGTATCAAACTTATTAAGAATCTCCTTATATATTTATACAATAATGCTATGGGTACATTCGGATTGACATCCCGGATGACACTCCACAAACATGGGAGTAGGGCTCGAGCCTAATAAAATAATAGTGGCCCCACCCCAATGTGTGTGAAGTGTCTTTCGGGGTATCAACCTAAATGTACACATAACAGAACCGTTATTTATATCTATTCGTGTTTTTTTGCCGTTGTCCCATTTTATAACACGTGCTAATTATATACATTTCATTTTATTAGTTTTGGATTTAACAGACGTTTGGTTAAGCTTAAAACTTCATTCATAAGAAAGTAAATTTTACCCAAAAAAATGATTTTTTATATATTATAGTTAAAAACAAGTGACCGATGCTGAAATGAGGATAAATTTCATAATATATTATTTTTAAACTTCAGAATATTTTAATCTTCAGTTTTTGGATAAATTGCATATCTAATCCCTGACCTTTCACGGAAGTTATGATCTCATCCTCAATAATCTTTAATACATTTGTTGAGTCTATTCCTCTCTACAGTTCCAACTACTTAAACACGTTAAAAATAACCATCATCAACAGCTACCTCCACATCGCTCAATGTCACCACCACAACAAGCCACCTCATCCCCATACCCCCTACTTTCCCTCCCGATACAAATTAGGGGTGTCCATTGGCTCGATTAGCCCATGACATGAGACTGACTCAACTCTTGGAAAAAAAATTGGCCTTGGACCACCCACCTCAATTCTTGAGCCAAGCTTGGGCGCTCCACAAGGTATTCAAATTATGTTCTTAAAATTCAATATTTTTTAATAAAATTAAATTAAATTAAAGCCTATTGTCACACGCTGCAAAATGCAGCTCGTCAGCCTATTAGACAAGCTAATAAGTAACATTTTTCATCCTATTAAAATCTCTCATGGTGTTTTCAATTAGACAAATCGTGGGGTCAACTCATGTGCTGAATGTCGAGCCTTTGTCGATTCCTGACCCATTAGTTCATTTGATTGCGCTTAAAGTCTCAAATGGACAGCAAACCGGAAAATGAACTCTGCTAAGTTTTTAAAGGCGAGCAAAGAAAAATTAATTAGGGATAGGATCACGATTTTCATCAAAGGTTAGGGACAAATTGCAATTTATCCTCTTCTTTTTGAACTTGGTACACATGGCTTGAGCTAAACACGAGATAAGTCAACCCACACGAGTGACTCAAATGCCAACTAAGGGAGGTGTATTCAGTTAATACTTTCACAAACTTTTTAAGTGGGTTACTTCGGTAGAATTCTTGAACGGATTTGTTAAGAATTAATAGAAATCCTTCATATATTTTAATGAACTTTTGTAGATTTTTACTAAATGTCTTTTAAACTTTATTTTTGAAAGAAAAATATTAAACTTATATAAATAAAATTATGAACTGGGTGAGCTCATATTTGTAATTGGTGATTAAAGCAAATATATAAAATCTAATTCTCTCGAGCTAGAAGAATATGGCATGAGTTGTCTAATATATCATTCCCAACAACTACTATTTTTTTTTTTAAGTCACCTCAATTAAATTAACAAATAATCTAAATTGATGAGCGTGAATAAAAATGTCAAAAAAAAGTGCTCCCCTATTGTGAGTGTACCGTCAGGAAGGGTGTCAAACCCTTCCTAGCTGCATAGCCCGATTGATTCATATGATCTCCCTTCTTATTTCTCCTTAAACACTATATTTATCAATTAACGTTAAAAACATTTATGAATACATACTATTATCGCAGATGTATGCAAGAAGAAAATGGACTAACACCAAATTCAATTAAACATTGATGGTGCAAATTCAATTGAATTCATATAAAAAGTTGAATATCAATCAATTAAAAAATATCTGATGACAAATGAATGAGGAGATGAAAGGATCGTTCTTTCCGGGCTCTAGAGATTTGTATTGAGATTTATTATTTATATTTTTCATCAAAAAGTTTCCCAAAATCCCATAAATATGGAATTCGCTAAAAGTCATTTTCAATTTATATAACATGTGATTTATAAAGACTTATCAAAAGTCTTAATTAAATACCTCGTGATTTTTTAAGACTATTTAAAAGTCTATAAAAGTCTCAATTGAATACACCAATATTTTTAAAGATTCTTAAAAAAAGTAAGATCCAATTCTCCTAAACTTTTTAAATGTCAAGTATGTGTTTAATTGGCTATATTATCCAGGAAAATTGTCATTTTTCATCTAAAATCTTACTTTTGAGGTGTTTGACTGGCAATTTTTTCATGAAAAATATTATCGATTTTTGATCACGTGATCATATTTTTCTCTAAAAAAAAATATATATATATATATATGTATATATATATATATATATTTTTTTTTTTTTTTTATTTTTTTTTTTTTTTTTTTATTTTTTTTTTTTTTTTTTTATTTTTTTTTTTTTTTTTTTATTTTTTTTTTTTTTTTTTTATTTTTTTTTTTTTTTTTTTATTTTTTTTTTTTTTTTTTTATTTTTTTTTTTTTTTTTTTGGGGAGTAGTAATTTTTTTTTTTTAGATAATTCATTCAATCTTTCTCTCGCTTATCTATCTATTCTCTCATCTACACACCAATAGAAAATAAACAAATATAATATTTTAAGTAATATTATTTTCAGTCGCTTATTGTCATAGTCATCTTATGTGACATACATGTGACGATTTGTGATTCGATACATTAATGTGATAGTTTTTATTACTTATGTAACAAATCACTAATCGTCACATGTATGAGCGACTGCGATAGTGATTGACTATAAATATTATTATTTTAATATTTTTAGATTAAAAATTAAATCAATCAAATATAATTAATAATTTTCATATAAATAAATTCTAAATAATTAAATTTTTTAGAATGTTTTTTCTTTTTATGTAGATTTCATACTGTGTGCACAGCTCGACACACAATACAACTTATAGTCCGGCCACGCCATTAAAAAATGACGCAGGTCCCACAGCACAATGATAAGCTGTACAAGAGATGCTGTACAAACAGCTTATTCCATTTGTTTACCCTAAAAATTACATTCCCTGTGTGTTAAAAGGAAAGTCAACGACGACAGTGGAAGATACTGCACTTATGATGGAAGAGAGAGAGAGAAGACGAGACCTTGTGATTTAACCAACATAACTTGAATTTGACAACATTCCTTGCCTTTACCCTCTCATCCTCCACCCCGCCTATTGTTACTCCAAACCCTTTGGTTCCTTTCTTTCATTATCTTAGCCTGCAATCAAACAGCTCATTGTATTGGCCGTGACCCACCTACCCATCAAAATCCCTATATTGAGTTGTACCCTTTTTAAAAATTTATTGCAACTTCTGGTTCTGTGGGTGACAATTTGTAGAAATATAGGTGAAAAGTTTCTGTCGGATCAAGAAAACTCAGATCTTAATCGTAATTTTGAGTGTAAGATCGGATATTGGGTTTTTCTTGAATTTGTGATGGGGTGGAAATATAAGGCTGGTCTCTTTTTAATTGCTGCTGTTGTCATCATCTGGGTCTCCTCTGCGGAAGTTACTCAGGTCTGATTTTTTTTCCTGTGATTTTTTCTTTTACTAGTTTAAGGTTTAAAATTTACGTTTCTTTGTTTTCATGGTAATTTTCTGTTGTTATTAGATATGTGTATGGATGTCTTGATTTGTGGAAATGGATTTTCACGTCCATATTTAAATTAATTATTTGTGAGTAATATATTTTCAATGTGCTTGAAGTGTTGTATATTGGACAGGTTGAGATTGTTGCCTTTTTCTCCATGTCTTCCCTGTTATGTTTGATTTTTTTATGTTTTTATTTTTTAGTTGAAGCCCACGTGCTATAATTGCTGGAGTGGCACAGGATTTTTTTACCGAAAAATGTTTAAAGTTACAAATGATGTATTATTATTTTTTTCAGAAATGTGCCTAGTTCATGCTCCCTGTTTTCTGGTTGCTGACCTAGGTATTAATGGAGTTTAGCTTCAAGAAAAAAGGATAGCAAATAATATAACTCATTTAACTGTTGAGATATCTGGATAAAGTGACTGCAATAATCTTATTAGGTGGTGTAACTTACTTGAAACATGGTTTTTATTTTACTGTCAAGGGCGAACAAAAAAAAGCTATCGATTTGTCAAACTGAACTCGAACTTTGATTTTGAAACCGTTGGTTTGGATTCAAATGGTTTCGGTTTTGACCGTTTCAAAACCAAACCAAGCCTTTTGAAAAGGTTTGGCTATGTTTCACATTTAAAAATAGTTTTATACCAAAGCGAATCTTTCACCCAATTTTATATATATATTATTTTCTAGTTGGTTTAGGAAAATAGTAATTTATTTATGATCTAAAGAATATAATTGCAAGCTTCAATTTTATGGTTAAACATCGTATTAATTGATTAGTTTAAGCTTGTATTGAGTCAAAATGTTAGAAATGATACTTTAATGTTTAGAATGTTTCAATGTAAGTGTTATAGTGAAATTTCAAAAAAGTAATTTATTTTTTCACTTGTTTGAATGGTGTTATTTTAAGTAACTAAAACCATGGTTTGAAATCACAACAAAATGCAAAAAGTGGTTTGGTTTTGTTTGGAAAATGAAATGGGGTTTGGTTTGGAATATGGTTGAAAATAGTTCAAAAACTATCCAAATCAAACCGTGTTCAGTCCAAGTAGACTATAAAGAGATTGAGCTAGTATGTTTTCTTACTAGTCATGTCAGGACATTTGGCTTAGCTGGATGTGTGATACGCTATTTTTTAAATGATACGCAGCTTCCCTTGTTGGTGTGCGGCAGTACACAAGATAGCTACATTTACCTTGTCCTACAAGCTTGAAAATATGTAAATGAGCGATGTTGCATTATTTGGGTGTAACGTAATAAATAACTTGAGATAATCAAGTCACCAGAAGCAGCGCATACTTACATTAAGAAAATTGGCTAACAGCAACCCTTTTGGTTGGGAATATCCATATGCACTTTTCAGGATGATTCCTCAACCTTAATCCCAATTACACAAGCAAAAATGCGTGGTTACATTCAGATCAGAAGTGTGGTTTAACATTTATCTTGAAAATAGAAAATTTTATGCATACATGAGCTCACTTGGAAAACAACATGGATGTTCAATCTATATATGCATTAGTCTCCTAACATGGCACTCAGACCCTATAAACATTTGAATAATATCGGGCTTTGTAATCCTCATGTTGTTATGGAAAAATTATCTATATTACTCACACTTCTAACTTATTTTTTCTCTTGATGAGAACTTTGTGTCAATATTTGGTACCTCCCTATGTACAAGTTAATAAAAAGATACATTTATCACCTCCTTTAACGCAAATTTTTTCAGGGTATTTTCACAGACTATAAGCAACCTTTTGCAGTGACATATCTCGGAGCTTCTCTATTGGTGATTTATCTCCCAGTAGCATTTATTAAGGATTGGATACACAATTTCCTGAAGAGACGTACCAGCAAAAGTGTTCAAGGCATAGACAGTGACTCGTGTTCTAGAATTGGCTCTCCTTTAAAGTACATTGGGGGACAGAAAATCTTTGAGATGGAAATTCAAGGATCCCTGAATAGGAAAGACAGTGAAATAGACCTTTCTGTGCAGGAAGAGGGAAGGCCATTAGTTTTTAAACATGGAGATGATAGTAGAAATATTAGACAAGAAAAAGAGGTCACAACCAAAGAAATTGCCACTTATGGATTTTATCTTGCTCCCCTTTGGTTTATTACAGAGGTAAATATCGCGTTGTTGTATTCCCTTCAAATGTGTGCCTAAATTCAAAATATTTTGTTGAATGCCAGACAACTACTGTTGCTGATTGAACCTATGTCTTGACCAATTTTAATTTTAATTTTGGGAAAATTATGTTAAAAAGGAAGAAATTTCAGAATTGATTTCACTTTTTACATGCCCTTGTGCAATCGTTAGATGTATTTTTATCATACTTTCTTTCTGGAAATATTTAAATTTACTCATATTCTTCTCTTTTGCAGTATTTATCAAATGCTGCACTTGCTCGTACAAGTGTTGCAAGTACTACAGTTTTGTCTTCTACATCAGGGTTGTTCACTCTTTTTATTGGGGCATTTTTGGGCCAAGATTCCTTAAATATGGCAAAGGTAGTTGCTGTTTTTGTAAGCATGACAGGGGTTGCCATGACAACCTTAGGTAAAACTTGGGCCACCGATGACTCACAACTTAATTCTTCTACGTAAGTCTCTACTTCATTTAGTATGCGCGTAAATGTCCTTATCATTTTATCCTTGCACACACTTTTATGTCTTCCTCAGTTTTCATTTTCAATTGCATGTTTCAGGGAATTGACTGACAGTTCAACTTTTTGTTTCTTTTAAAGAAGCGGAAAGCGCTCTCTTGTCGGGGATATTTTTGGCCTTCTATCAGCTATGACTTATGGGCTATTTACAGGTGTGTCATTCTTTGTCATACGAATTGAATGAAATTAAGATCAACGTGGAAATTTCTGATGGCAACTATCGTTAATGCTCGTTTTCAAATTTCTGCAGTACTTCTCAAAAAGTTTTCTGGAGAGGAAGGAGAGAGGGTTGATGTGCAGAAGTTGTTTGGATATGTTGGATTATTTACACTGGTGGCACTTTGGTGGCTTGGTAAGATATTTTCATTTTCTTTCTTGTTTTGCTGGGCTAACTAATTTTCCTTTAAACACAATTTCTCATGTTTCTTTTGAGTTCATTTTTGTCATAATCATTCTCTTCACTTTGTCATATATTTTTATCTTCTACTATCCACTAATATATTAAACTCAGTTTAATTACTTGAACTCCAATGTTATCTGATTATTGCCATTGTTAGTCACAGGTATCTACAACTCTTCGTTGTGCTAAAATGGAAGATACTGTTATTCCTTGGATTTCTCATGCATTATTTGAGCTTTTTTGTGATGTTCATTCTATGTAGTTAGATATTTTTCTTCTCTCATCCATAACAAATAATTATTTACATATATTCCAATCTTGTTTCAGTATGGCCATTAACAGCCTTGGGTATAGAACCTAAATTTACAATTCCTCACTCTGCTAAAATGGATGAAGTCGTTATTGCCAATGGACTAATAGGAAGTGTTCTCTCTGACTACTTTTGGTATGTGAAACATTTATTCTTACTGAGAAGTTTTTTTCGTCAATATTTTTTTGTCGTAAATAATAGTTTACCCTTTTCTCTTTAGGGCCTTGTGCGTTGTTTGGACTACGCCACTTGTTGCCACATTGGGCATGTCTCTTACCATTCCTCTTGCTATGGTGGCTGACATGGTTATTCATGGACGTCACTATTCTGCCATATATATTCTTGGTTCAGCTCAGGTAATACCATTTACGGAAGGAAGGAAAGCTGGTGAATAAAATCACGTCCAGAATATGTGAACACGCTCGTATTCTACATGAACTATTATTGCATGTATATAGTACTGAACACAAGTTGATGGTATGATGAAGAAATTTTAGTTTGTTTTTATTCCTTAATAATGCCGAGTATTGTCTAATCCTTTCTTACCAACATGCAGTTAGTATATGCAATGTTTTGCCTCAAATTTTTTATACATTCCATTTGCACATGACTTATGTATGAATTAATTTTTATCTCTCTTTAAATTAAATACACAGCGTGTTATGTCCTACTGTAACTCTTGATTGTCGGATGCTTAATTTCTCATCTTTTCTTTGAAAATGACGTGACAGGTATTTCTAGGTTTTGTGATAGCTAATCTTTCTGATTGGTTCAAGAAAAAAATGGGGTTATGACAGAAAGTTACGAGGTTCGAGGTTAGTCTAGAGATCGTAATGTTTGGCTTGTAGCATTTTTCGTCTCATACAAGACAGAAGAATTGGTGGTCGTTTCTTAGCTATGAGAAAGTTAAATTCTTTTATCTTTGATGGACCTGAAAAAGTTTGTCCAAGGTTTCCATGTTTTTAGTTTGTTTCATGCTTGAAATAGACTTGAATATTTGTACAAAATTTGTTCAATTGTTAATAGTACACTGTATTCTTCAATTAATCACAGATGGAATGACTTGTGTCCCGTCCTTTTCTGAAAAAGGAAAAAAATTGTGTTTTGAGACAAATACATGTATATATAGGCCTATGCGTTTGAAATGAACGATTGAGATCAATCTAATCCTAGGGCCAGATTTGAACCTGTAGAGGCCACTAATTCTTGGTGCTATGGTTACACACTTACACAATCTCAAATACAACATTCAGCTATAAATATGGATTGTGCTACACGTACATTAAGGCAAGGGTTCACCTCCATACAAGATGAATGGACACCACATTATGTACGAGTAGCATATTTCATGAGGAAAATTTTACTAGTACATAATTATTACACATAATTGTGTCTATAATGTAATGTGGCAATCATTTTGTTGTTGATGTGCAATCGTGAGATTTGAAATAAAGGTTGGATCCAGTGCCACGTGTAATTATGGACACTATTATGTAGAGAATTATGTATAAGTATCACTTCTCATTCCATAAAATATTTCTTTGCCTTCTAATTAAAAGTTTCAAGTCTTATAAAGTTATTCATGATTGGTTAGGAATATTCTCAGTTCGTATGGAGTGAGTACGATTGTTCTACATGTACATAATGAATTTATACAATGGTTTACGTACACATTATGTGGTAGGATATGATTGTATCATAATTTTTTCAACCAAATAAAAAATGAACTTTCTCATTTTCTCTTTGACAATTCATCTGTATGTAAATAATTCTATAACTGTTTATGTCCAAGTAGTATTATTCGAACGAAATCTCTCCACCCGAATGGTAACCGGAATGTGGACGAAATTCTAGTTCCCTGAATCTTTATAATTTAATTTATTTTTATATTTTCAAATTAAATTCATATTTGAAAAAATAAAAAGTAATAGTAATAAATAAATAAATAAATAAATAATCATACGAGGCAATAAATGGAATTTTTTCAATCCTCGCCCTGCATTGCCCCTTCCTATTCCCAAACCCCGCTCTATGTAAATCCCCGGTTGAGCAGGGATGGTAATAATTAACTCGATTCCATTGCCATCCTATACCTGGTGCCTTTTGTCCTGGTCGAAGCATTCAATCTAGCATCAAAGATTTGCACTATATTGTAGTTGGAGCAGGATCGGCATGCCCCACCCGTGGTCGTGCAGGGTCGGGGTTGCAAAGGGCCATGTCGACCTTTTAACATCCTTATATTTGACACAAATATGATAAAACACAAACGTATAATTTTGATTTTCCTTTTTAAATTCATTTTTACTTTTGCAAAATCTCATTTAAAATTAATTTAGAATGCTACAATAACAAATATTTGAACTTCTGTTTGCATCCTTTTTATATAGAAAAAAAGTAGTTAACCCTTCCGTGGACCAATCCTGCGCAAAAATTTGGATTTTCCAGTTCTCCTTATTCTCCGTCTCCCTCTCACTCACCCAAATTCCGATGGGAGGTGTACCACGCAATCACACGTTGATCTTTCTCTCGCTAATATTGCTTATTTTGCCTGCGGCACTTGCGATCTCTTCTGAGTACTATGTTATCCATCTTCTTTTACTCATAATCTTATTTTTACATTTTTTCGATGAATTATTTTCCTGAGAGTTTAATTCACTTATTTTCTTGAATTACAATGTTTATTTTAAGAAATTCTTTATTCTTTTATTAACTCTAAATTAAAAATATTTTTTCCATTTTGATCTTGACAGGAATGTCGAGGGATATAGCATAAATGGTCAAGTCAAATTTTCTGGTATGATTTCATTTTGGTGCTTAAAGTAATGGGTTATGGATTTTATTTTCTTGGAATTGTTGAAGGAGTTCTGAATGTTGGCCTCTATAAACTGTTCTTGAAAATTTTGGTTGTTATTCAAGAAATTGAATTATCATAAAGTGTAAGCTAGCTAGTTTAAATTATAATTCGCAGTTTATTTGTGTGATGGATTTAGGAAATTTTGGCTAAATGCGAAATCTTGATCTAACTGGATACAGAAAATTAAAAAATGGAATGGATACGACAACAGTATTGAATGTGACTTAAAACAGTGCAACTCAAAATTTCAGTTGCTGTTTGGCGTTCATTTGTCTCATCTAGGCTTCAGGTTCAGGATGATCACTTTTTTGGTTTTTGTATTTGTTGAACATATACTATTAGAGAAGATGTGTTGCATATCGACAGAAAAGTGACCTTAATTGACATTCTGAATCATAGTTTTATGTTGTGCGAATTGAGAAAATGGTGAAGATGTGGTTTAGGATGCAAATTGAGAACTCCATTAAATTGCTTGGTGAAGTTAGATGTTTCTTTGCCTTTAGAAATGTCTAGGAAACTAGATTGCTCAAAATGTCAGTTGCTGCTGATATACTAAAACTAAATTGTGGTTAACAATAATTGTCTTATTGACATGAAATTTCATATGAAAAGGGTTGATTTGTATGCTAAATTGTTTATTTTTATGAGTTTTAAGACTTTTTCCGGTAAAACTGCAATTGGAAAGCAATTGGAAACTTCTGTGATGGGCCAGCTGTTAAATAGAACACTGATCATGTATATGCAGAGGTGATATAATTCCAATTCTCCATGTTGTTATATTTCTTGTCTTGTTGTATCAAAAACCTCTTAAGAAATTTATAAGTGCTGGAATCAAGAGATGACACCATAATGGTAGTGAGAGTTGATGTAATTGAATAAAAAAATATGCGAGGAACTTAGCCCCTGTTTGGCCCACATTCTCTTTCTCATTCTTTTTCTCTCTCTTATTTTCAACCACACAATCTTTCATACAATAATATTACACGTAAATCAAAAACTTTCCGTTCTTTTTCAACCACATATTATAAAAATAAAAATAAATAAAAAAAACATTATTCCAACCATTAAAATTTGAAAAGAATGGGGGCCAAACAGGGGCTTAATAATATCAAACTGTTATTACTCCCTCTAGTCTGAATATGTGGGAGTAATTGATTTAATATTGAACATTTTATATACCAGTTAAAAGAACAAGTATAAGGTTGAAGATATAACATTTATACGTGCCATTTGTGGAAATCTTGATCATGTGAAATTCTTAATAGTTGGCAAGGTGATACTTCCACTTGAATGTGAGGTTGAATTTATTTATTAACTTTGAAAAGAAAAACGACATCAGCCACTTTCCATTAGGGCTCTCATGTGAAATGAATTCCAATCTTTAGTAGATAAAATAAAAGCTAGTCTACTTTCCTGCCTCTTCAACGATAACATCCATGTTTTCGTATCGTATTTTTGCACAAATTTGTGAAGGAAATTATTTTAAGCATTGGTTGCTAATATATATACCTTGTTGCTTGAAAGATTTTATGACATTCATATTCATTTTATTTCATTGGGCTAACTCTAATTTTTCTCCATAATGTTGTGTTTAACTAGGTAGCATAACTGGACCCGGTCTTCCGCCAAAAATATCAAATGTCAAAGTTATACTTAATGGTGGACAAAGAGTTTCTTTTTTAAGGCCTGATGGATATTTTTCATTGTATCCTATCATATTTGTCTCTCTGCACTGAGTTAATCAAGTAACTTTGCCTTTGACTCAGCATATTTGATTTAGTTTTATACTTATGTTTGAACTTGGGACTGCATCACATTCTTGTGGGTTTGTTGTGGGAAACTGGAATCAGCACCATATATTTTAAAGGTTATGAGTGGGATCCCGAAATATTATTACATTTATGATCTATGTTGCTCGGACTCGGGTGCGGGTGTCGGATATGGGTACATATTTAGAGGTCGGATTCTTCTCATTTTTAAAATTAAGATATGGGGATACGGTTAAAAAGGATCCGAATTGTGGATATGGGTACGAGGATACGTCCTACAATTTTTTTAAAAATTGTTCAATTAAAGTACACAACAACAATATTAAAGCAAAAAGGCAAATTACCACAATACAAATGTTTCATATAATGATAAAAATCCAAATTCAAACAAAACATAATTTAAAATAAAGTTAAACATCCAAAATGTTACAACTTCAAAATAAGTTTTCCACTTGAAATCAAACTAAACTAGCATTCCCAATCAAGCTCTACTCCTCTTCTTCATCAAACGTCATTGCCTCCAATTCTGGCTCATCAAGGGATAGTTCCACCATCTCAATGATACCTTGTCCATCCAATTCAATTTGATCAACGCCTACAAAAAATATAGATATATAAATATTAATGTAAAAAAATTAGATATCTAAAAAAACCAAAGAATATAAGAATATTGTATACATACACAAATCCCAATATTTTGTTGGCCCATCTTTGTACTCTTCTTCTTTTCGTGACAGGAGTCGAAGATTACAATGAACAAATACCAAGTCTTCCGCCCTACTCGATGCTAGTTTGTTTCTCTTGATACTCTGGATGAGTGAATACGTGCTCCAATTTCGCTCACAACAAGAAGAGGATGCCGGTTGCGAGAGCAATTTAAATGCTAGAGATTGCAACAAAGGTATCGAAGAACCATGATTGGCCCACCAAGAGATTGGCTCTTCGTACATTCTTGCATCAATCACATGGGGTTGATTGAAATACTCCGATCCAGTAGAAAAGGACCCAAATTCAGCATATGCTTTCCTCAAATCAGCCGGATTTTCAAACAACCTTTTGAAGCATTTGCTTCTATTCATTGAAACTTCTTCATCTTCATGTGGTGCAATTCTTTGAATTCCGTTACTTCCATCTTGAAGCCAAGATTCATTATAATACTTAGGAACCAAAGAGTGTGCCATACAAAGCAAAGGAGTGTTACTCTTATTCCATCTACTCTCCAAAACTTGATGAATAGCATCAAAAAAATCTGAATGCCCAGAAACTATATCTAGCCCCTCGTGCTCAAATACAATCTTTTTCACATTTTCAATCATTGTATCCCACATATCATATGTTAAATGAAAAATTGGAGAATCAGTATCAGCAACTCGTAACATATTATAAATAGGCTCAGTGAAAGATAAAAAATAATCCAAATTATCCCACCAAACGTCATTGACTACACACGTTTTCACTTCTTGTGATTTGCCTTCATTATTCCCGTCCCTATAAATTCTCCAATCTGAATCCATCACCATTTTCTCAAGCGCTGGCCTAACTTCTCTTAATCGTTTACTCATTACAATAGCAGATGCAAATCTTGTAGTAGCCACCCTCAACAAACACAACTTAGAATATTTATTGTATATAGCTAATGCCATTCCATGATTAACAATAAAATTACGAATGTTTTCCACATCACTCACCAAATCAGCAATCCACTTACAATATGCATACTGTGGTGATTTTTCAGATGGATCACATATGCTTTTCAAAGCCAAATTCAGACTATGTACCACACAAGGAGTCCAAAAGATATGAGGATACTTTGTTTCAATGCTTAGTCCAGCAGATTTATAGTTGGCAGCATTGTCAGTGATGATTTGAACAACATTTGAGCTTCCAATTTGCTTGATTGCATCCATAAACATTGCTGCCACGTATTCTCCATCTTTTATATTGCCACTTGCATCAATTGCTTTAATAAACATGGCTCCCCCTGCAGATGCTCCCATCACATTTATAAGAGGTCTCCTTTGTTTATCCGACCAGCCATCAGAAACAATAGACACTCCCTTTTTCCTCCATGAATCTCTAATAGGCTGAAGTTTTCTGTTGATATTCTCCTTCTCCTGTGCAAGCAATGTTGTACGCAGCCGGTTATAAGTAGGAGGGGTATAACCAGCCACATTACTATTGGCCAAAGTTCTACAAAACTGTCTGAAGTAAGGAGATTTTGCAAAATTGAAGGATAACGCACTGGCATAAAACATTCTGGCAGCCTCTTTATCAGCAGTGTCCCTTTGCGCCATGTTGAAAGTCTTTTCTAAAGGTCCAAGCTGTCCTCTTTTCTTCTTCATTTTCTGCTGCAGTAAATCAGAATCACTGGGCAGTGAGACATATTCAACCCTTTTCCTTTCGTTAATCTCATCTTGTAATTTTTTCCTCTCAACTGGCTCGTGTTCCCTTTTGATTGATTGATGAATGTCATCTGTTATGACTTTACAACACTCGACTCCTTGATTTGGAAGTTTTAGCAAATGAGCCTTCACTTTAGTGTAAGATCCAGTCACTTTTTTATTGCAATAGTTGCAACTCCAAGTCCGATTTTCGCCTCCGCTCACTGCTACGGTCAGTACCTTCACATGGTTCCATAGTGGCTTATCATCGAATTGATTTGCACGAAGATTTGAGGGTCGTTGAGGTGTTTCTAGTGTAGAGTTAGATGGATTCATACTTGAAAATTAGGAGTAAGCAATATTCTGGAAATTTTTGATTGAATTTTCGATTGAAGAAAATAATTTTCTGTAGAGGAAGATGAAAAATGTGGAGTTTTCTGGTGCAAAAATTCCAAGAAGGCAGATAAAACGTCTTTTGCAATTCCAAATGTCCTTTGCAATTCCAAGAGTTGACCCATTATAGGAAGAATCTTCAAATCTGGTGCAATTTATGGGGAAAGAGACTAACTCATCAAATAGCAATTAATGCACCAGAAATTTTGTCTCGGCCAAAGCTCCAACCCTCATCTTCCTTGTCTACCTGTCTGCAATTACAGGTTAAATGCTGCTGCCATTTTCATTCCTCCATTTCCAGCCGTGTCCGAGTTCAAAGCCGAGTATCCGACCCGTATCCCGTATCCGTATCCGTGTCGTGTCGTGCCGACACGGATACTTGGCCAAAAATGGAGAGTCCGAGCAACATAGTTTATGATAGCATGCTAAAAATTAATATGTACGCATTTCTTTGACTACTGTTCGTCAAGCCATAATGTGCCAGCAGGGACTCATCTTATTGAAGTGGCTGCTGTTGGTTATTTCTTCTCTCCAGTGAGCTTCTTAACTCTTGGATTTTTCTTGTACTTAATCAATTCGTTAACTTAATATGGCCCATAAATCCCATCTTGGCTGCCAGGTCCGGGTTGATGTGAGTGCAAGAAACCCGGGCAAGGTTCAGGCAGCTCTGACAGAGAACAGGAGAGTATTGAGTGAGCTTGTTTTGGAGCCGTTGAGAGAGGAACAGTATTATGAGGTGCGAACAGATTGACCTCTTCTCCGGTTATATTCTATTTGTAATAATTATTCTGAAAAAAAAATAAAAAAATTGCGTACTTTTTGCCATCTTTTCTTCATTTTTTTCCTTTTGCAGATAAGAGAACCATTCTCCATAATGTCTATTGTGAAGAGCCCAATGGGTCTAATGGTTGGATTTATGGCGATTGTGATGTTTTTGATGCCCAAACTAGTAGGTAAGTGTGATACACTACAGCTCCATTATTTTCTATTGAATCGCCCACATACAGTTTGCTTATTGCTAATGTCCATTGCTGTAGATATATTTTACATTTCAATAACCGTGGTGCATTTATTTATGAATTGGTCTTTTCTGACTGCTTTGAGTTAAAAAAAAGTAAACTTGCAGATTGTAATGGTGCACATTGATCATCATATATTGTTTGCCATCTACTCAATTGCTCCTTCCTGTCCAATAAAGTACAAATCTGGGGTTGGGTAAAAATTAGTTAGATGTGCTCCTATAATTATGCATGCAACGCTCATACAAATGCTACTTTTTATCCGCTAGTCTTATCGAGTAGGAATGTGCAATACAAAAGATGATTTCCGGCTCCCCCTAATGGAATATGAACATCTGGTGTCAATACATGGGGTTTTAGTTTCAAATCTCAGTGCCTCTTTTTAGTTGGCAATTTAGGGACAGTTGTATAGAACATTAAATTCCCTAATTGTTCAACACTGTATAATTATATATTGGAACATCCCATAATTTTCTGTTATTTATACTCGAAGAAAGGCTTGTTTCCACACATTTTCTGGACAATAAATTGTAGCAAATAAGTTGTAGTTACTCCTATCCACATGGGGAACACTACTAGGTATAGGCTTTGTGGCACGTCGACCAAACTGACAATTCATGCATTGTTTTGTTACCTATCTATTCTTAGAAAGCAATGTGGATTTCAAAGGGAGTGTGAATCGCTCATAATAATATTCTTGTTTCAGATGCGGAAGAAATGAAGCGAGCACAGGAGGAAATGAGAAACCAAGGTACTCCCTCTCTTGCAAACTTTTTAGCAGGAGCACAGAGAACCAGTTAAACATTGTAAGGCATATATTTAGAGAAAGTTGTAACAATATTGAAAACTTTCTATGGAACAATGCCTTTTTTGTTGTTATCTGATACTCGCTGTGTTATAAAACCTACCAATATCTGATGTATTTGATCACATTTTCTTTGTAACCTATTTCTTCAATTTTAAGGCTCGTTTGGCAGGACTTTTGAAATGTCAAGAGTTGCTTCTAAGATTAAGAACCTATTTTTAAACATGTTTAAATAATCTTCTGGAAGTAATTTTTTTGTTTAAAAAAGCTTTTAGATGAAGATGACATTGTAGCTTCCTTGGAAAGCTCTTTTATAAGAAACAAAAGTAAAAGTAATCTTGTCAAATGGGCGTTATTAATGCTGAATTAAATTTTTTACGAGGTTACTTATGTTGATGATCCGAGAGAACGTTAAGGGCTTTGATGTAGTAAGAGGATATAATAGGACTGCATTAGAAAGGGTGGAGCGATGAGAAGATAGGGGTTGATCTTCTTTTCGCATTGAATGAACTAGTTTCATTTTTGGACATGTTTAATACATTACTATACATTGTAAAATAGTCGAGCTTTCTTTTCTACTCCTGAGTACAGCGATATATTTTTTACCGTACATGCCTTGAAATTTGTGAAAATTAATTTCCAAACTCGACTGGGAGAAAAAGCGTTGGGCACGATGCTAATACTTGTCGAAATCGCATCAGATGGATGGTTTGGTTTGCCTCCACTTTCATACCTGATTGAGGGACATGCACCAACGTTGTCAACCGATAAGCTCGATCACTTTGAGTTCACTTACGATTAAGGCTACAATTAATTTTCAAATTAAATTATGAAAAGCAATGAACTTGATCATGTTTAGATAATCAACAATCTAGTTTTCGTTATACTAGTGGATCATATGAAGTTTGAAATTTTATGAATTAATTGAATGGACTGACCGTTTAAGACTATTATTTAATTTCGATTATAATCATTTATATATTACATTACAAATAATTACTCATCGAAAATTTTGTTAAAAGCCAAACATTTTTTTCCCCTTCTAAAACAAATTCGGGTACCCACAATTGGTTCTCCAATAGTACCCAAAACAAGATCATTAATTTACAGGTAAATGCTTAATTAATAAGGAAAGAAAAAGATTCACTCATTTCTACAGAAAAATTGAGGGAAAGTAGACATCAAGCAAAGCTAATTAAAGCATTTCTTTGCAAACATTATAATTTCTACAGAAAAATTGAGGGAAAGTAGACATCAAGCAAAGCTAATTAAAGCATTTCTTTGCAAACACTATAAAATAAAATCATTTCGAAGCAAACATTATGCAGCAATAGGGCAGCAGCAGTGTGAATTGAATAACTTCGTCCTCGGGACAGTGAGAAGTGGGAGAGAGGGGGAAAGCAAGAATGGAATGGTGGTTCTCCAATGCTTGGGATCCACCATTTCTTCTTAGGCCCGCTTCTGTTCAAGTTCAGTGTCAGAGAGGATAGATTTCATCTGATATATCCACTTCTTATTAACTTAAACGTTGGTTTTTGGTCAATCTTTATTACTGTTAATAAGAAAATAAGAATTCAGTTCAAGAAAATTATTGAAACAATTACGTGGGTAGTGATTCTAATCATGAAATTAAAGAAATTTAATTCTCAGATATGGTATCTCCAAATTTAACTTAAAAAAGCCCACAAATATAGCATAATAACAAGTAACAACACGCTTTTGAAATAGTTGTACTATGAATTAATGCAACGAATTCATGAATTCGTATAGATAGAAAAATAGAAGTTAAGATAAATCAAAACATCAAACCATCCACATCATCAAGTATTTTGCAGTTTGTATTAAACATACAATTCCCCTTATTGTAGAATTCTTGCCGTACTGACCATAAAATCCATGTCAAACCTGAAGCAAAATATGAAACAAGCAGAATAAGAAAGAGCGAACTCATTTCCTCTTTTTAGCTGGTGGCTGGGGAATCTCCTCGTCATCCTCTTCTGGGTCTTCCTCCTCGTCCTTCCTCTTTTTTGCTGGTGGCTGGGGAATTTCCTCCTCCTCGTCCTCGTCTGGTTCTTCGTCCTCATCCTCATCCTCGTCCTCGTCCTCGTCATTCTCATCGTCATCATCCTCGTCATTCTCATCGTCATCATCCTCACCATCCTCATCGTCATTATTTTCAGCACCATCATTTGTCTCGGGCTCTTCTTCTTCTTCATCCTCCTCTCCTGCATCAGCATCCTCTTCCTCTCCTGCATCAGCATCCTGATCTTCACCTTCATCTCCAAGTTCATGTCCATCATCATCCCCAGTTTCATCACCATCTTTGTTCTCTGGTTCAGACTGCTTCTCCACATCACTCTTTATCACAACCCTGAAAAATCCCATTGCTCTTTAGTGCTTGTAAATTTGTAAAGGAAAAGGTTAGGGGAGCGGGGAGGAAAACTAACCCTTGTAATGCAGCTGGTTCTCTAGGGAATATTTTAGTCACAATCAGCGCAGCTCTCGTCTATAGAAAGCAATAAAACTAGCCGATTATTAACAACTATCTTGCATCATCAATAAGCAAAAAGAGGTCATTAAATCTAAATATTGATAATTAAATAAGAATGAGCAGAACAAATTTTAACTATTATTATTGATAAGATGCATAAGCTGAAGCATAGGTTGGCCATTTTGCTGACTGTAAACATGACAAGTTAGCAAATGTGCTTATAATCACCCAGCCACAAGGAATTTTGATGCGTCAATACAATGTATTTAAATTTCTAAAACGGAACACTGTTTTTTCTTCAGTAAAGAAGTTAACCAGCAAACCCAAGGCCCAGCGAACATTTAGAATAAGATTTAACAAGCCATTAAGAAAATGAAGTAAACTTTACATGTGAACGGATATAATCACAAAGAATACAAGTGCCAAGATGTTCATCTCTTATGTTGTTTGTGCAAAATGGAACTAAGAAATCCAATTAAGATGTGAAAAACCTTAGATCTAAACCAAAGATATCCACAAGAGGTCAATCGTGAAGTCACATAAATTAATCACACAAGAAATCAGCTTCACAGAAGAATGAGTCAACAACCACAGCCTCAAGAACTCTATTCCAGTGCTCAAATTTCACCGTATCAACCAACACAAACTTTAATCTTCCAAAAGCAATGTATAAATTGTAAAGATACACTTGAGAACCAACCCCACAAGCTCAAAACAATACCCAGAACTCTCAAGTTTAAACAAATTGACCGCCATAACAATCTATCCCAATCCACTTTCAAATAATAATATAACAATCAAAGCAACCAACCTTTAACCAAAAATCTAGAAGCCAACTAAATCCTCATAATCATATCACAGTGCAACCTAACAAAGCCCTTCATTTCTCGGATCCCACACCACAAAAATCCAAAACTTTCATTAAACAATCTGAGCTTGAATCTCATTGTCCACTAATTAAACAATATCAACCAAAACAAACCTCCCATTTCACCCAACCCACGTAAAAATGAATAAATCTACAGTTCATTCGTAAGGCAGTAAAACCACCACTGCCCAATTCCAATCATATTATACATCACAGCCAAAAATTATACAAACCCGCATAGTAAAAAGCTTCAAACGTAGCTAGGATAGAGAAGAAATATACAAGCAAGAAAATATAAAGTTTTATACACATTCACATCATGATCAATTGAAGCGACCCAAAACTAGAATTACTAAGGGAGTGTTTGATAGACATTTTTACGTAAAAATGCATTTTAGAATAGTAAATTGACGTGGAATATGTGGTTGAAAAATAAGGAAAAAATCTTGATTTGCGTGTAATATTATTTTAATAAAGAATGTGCAGTTGAAAAGGAGAGAGAGAGAAATCCATTTTGAAGAAAATGGCTACCAAACGGGCCTAAACATAAAAATGGCAGAACTGTTAAGCCCATAGCATGAAAATCCAAAGCGAACAAATAAATCAGGAAAAACAGGCAAGAAACCAAAATTATTGGATCCCATAGCATGAAAATCCAAAGCGAACATATAAATCAGCAAAAACAGGCAACATACCAAAAATATTGGATGTCATATTGGGCAAGCAAGCATCCAAAAATCGAAATTTTGTACAGAACTGAATAAATTTTCGCAAAACCCCAGAACTACTGAGCACGGGTATATTGAGAAAGGAGCTGTTTCATACCATAAAAAGAGGGAAAGCAAGAGACTTTGCAATATTAGTCGAAATTTGAACCATGAACGCCTGGAGTACAGGGCCCAAAACCCTATGCGGCACCACAGCGTAAGTAGACAAAGCCTCCATCTCCATCTGTTTTCACCTGAAACAAAAGAAAACACTACAGAAGGTAATAAGAGAAACACTGTTAGAAAAATTGTCAGCTGTGCATAAACAGAGAGACTGTAAATAAATTATTAGATATACTATTATGTATAAAAGGAAACAATTAGAGAGAGTCTTTAAAACCCTAAAGGTGTTTTTCTTTCCCAATTTTAGGGGTTTCACAAATTCATCTATCTAGGGTTTGAAGGTTTCTAGCTTAGCGGTTTCTTTTCTGGGATTTAAAGGTCTACAGCGGTGTACAAGATTGAGAGAAGGTAATGCACAGTTCTAAGACCATGTTTGGTTAGGTTAAAATTTTACTTATAAGTTAGAGTGGACTTTACATTATTAATATATAATATTTTTATTTGGAAGCCATGGAGTGCGTGATATTCATTTTACGTGATTTTGTGGAAAATGTAATTTGAAATAGAGATTTCTTAGAAGAATGTGCAGTTTAAAAATAATAATTTTTTTTTTTTACATTTTTACATGTAATATTATTTTATTAGAGAATTTGTGATTAAAAAGGGAAGAGAAAAAATATTAAAATTAGGGGAAATTCATATATAAGAGATTAGGTATGACACATTTTAAAACTAAAAAATATAGTTAAAAATTTCAAAAATCAGATTTTAAAATTTTATTTATAAACTAATTAATAAAACATTTATTTTATTAATTAAATATATTAAGATCACAATTTTATACTATTTGGTAACGAATTATAAATTAATTGATCACGATTTATTTATCGAACACAAATTTATCAAATTAACATGTCACATGTTATTCTTTGGTTATAAATAATAAATTTTACGAGTCACATGATATTTAGGGGGTGTTTGATATGTATTTTTATATAAAAATGCATTTTAGAATAGTAAATTGATGTGAAATGTGTGGTTGAAAAATAAGGAAATTTTTTTTATTTACGTATAATATTATTTTAATAAAAAAATATGTAGTTGAAAAGAAAAAGAGAAAAAGTACATTTTGAAAAAAAGACTACCAAACGGGCTCTTAATTAATTAGTCACAATTAATTTTCGGTCACATCTCATCAAATCATTGGTCATAACTTATTTTTCAGTTACAAATCAAAAACTTTATAAGTCACAGATTATTTCTAAATTACAAATCAAAAATTTTTAGATCACTAATTATTTATCGGTCATAAATCAAAACTTTTAATGATCATAATTTATCGATCATATGATATTTTTTAATCACAATATATCAAAATTATTGATCACAATCTCACATAATTGGTCACAAACCTCCATCGTAGCACCAACACTTCCAACAAAATACCATTTTCAATTTAACCATGACTACCTCACCACCACAACCACCAACATATCACCATTTTCAACTACATAACCACAACTGAAATCGACGTATCCATTACAGATCCGCCACTACCAGCACCTCCACTACCAAAAGCCACCCCACCGCCAAATCCAACAAACCCCTTTCAGTTCCACCATCGCTACCACCACAATGACCAACAAACCACCATTTTTAACTACAAACCACCACTACCATTGACACATCCATGCCAAATTCACCACCTCCACCAACAAAAGTCATCCCCCACCTCTAGATCCGACAAGTCCTTTTCAAATCTACCATCGCACAACAACAAAACCCATCGCCAAATCACGATTCAGAGCACATCGCATTGCACTGCCGTTGTCGCATCAGCGATTGCGAACCATTGGGCACCACAAATCGCTGAAGAAACACCACAACCTGAGATTTGGTACAGATCGCTGAGAGGCGGAGGCCCTACGAAGCTAGATTGGTACAGATTGCCGCAGCTAATGCCCCTCTAAGAGCATGAAGTTGCTCCTTAACGCCATGTTCAAAGGCGTCGCCCTCATGGCTAGACTGTTCAGATCGTTGCAGCTACTACGTTTCCGCCAGATCCATCAAACCCCTTTTAGATCCACTACCACGACCACCAACAAACCGCCTTTCAACTACAAAACCACTACTGCCATCGAACACATCCACGCCAGATTCACCACCACCAACTCCACCAACTAAAGCTATCCCTACCACCAGATCCAACAAGTCCTTTTCAAATCCACCACCACACAAACAATAAAAACCATCGCCAAATCGCGACACAGAGCATAGACACACCATCATCGCATTGCACTACCATTGCCGCTGAAAACGATCGCGAACCATCGAGCACCACAAATCGTCGGAGAAACACCACAAATCGAGATTTGGTATAGATCCCCAAGAGGTCGAGGCCCTATGAGGTTGGATTGATATAGATCGCTGTAACTACTGCGCCTCTGCACACATGAAGCTTCACCTCAATGTAGCGCTCAGAGGCGTCACCCTCATGGCCAAGGGCAGAGCCAGGAAGATATGTTAGGGTGAGCTGAAAATTAAATTTTTTAATAAATGCTCTTTGCTACTCGAGATTTAGTTTAAAAGGTTACACTCTTCACGCTAATGACAAAATGGATTAAGATATATTTTTAAACATCTATGACAAAATTCTAACAAATATATTTTTAAATGATAAAAGTAAATATAAAGCATATTTCCATTTCGTGGTTGAAATAAATAAATTTTTAAATCACAAGTATAAATAAACAATATATGAAAAAATAAGTTAGAAAAAATTAATTACTTTTAAGCTTAGTCAAACATGTGACATGCTACAATAAGTTATTTATCTTTACTTTAATCAATAAAAATTATTTCTAATATAATAAATTAATTTGATTATAAATGAACTATTTAAATTTAGGGCTTGTTTGAGCCACATTATTCTAAAAAATGTATTTTTAAACAGTGATTTGATATCATTTCAACCACACACTTTTCAATAAAATAATATTACACGCAAATCAAAATATTTTTCTTATTTTTTAACTATACATTTCCCATCAATACACTATTCAAGAATGCATTATTACCAAAATAATGTGGCTCAAACACTCCCTTAAATAATTGAACATTGGATTTAGGTTGGGAATGAAGTTAATTGTGCTAAAAATTAATTTATAGACTAGGCTAAATTTTTATTCTTCTTTATTTCACCAATAATTTGGACTGAATTTTTCATTTTTTACAAGTCAATTAGCTATTGGGCTGGGGCTGGGCTACAGCCCACCCCAGCCCCCCCTCTCCCTCTGTCTCTGCTCATGGCTAGACTGTTCAGATCGCCGCAGCTGTTGCACCTCCATACACAAAGGCTCTATTGTCGTTCCTACCATGTTGCTTTGTGTGACATAGCAGCGATAGTGTGAGGTAGGAGAGCAACGTCATCGGAAGAGATGACGGCATCGTAAGTGGCTGGTAGAGAATAAGACGAGAGAAGATGAAGGAAAGTAGAAAATGGTGGAAATGGTTTTAGGATTTGGAAAGAAAAAAGAGGTGGGTATGAAAATTAATTAAGATTTAGGATGAAAATTATATATTTAATATTTAAATATGAAATATCTGATTTGTGAATAATGAAACCTCCTCCCTGTTTTTAGAATAATGATATTTAAAAATAGCGTAGGATATAATTTCCACTTTACATTATAATAGGCCCAAACAGAGGCTTAATTTATTCAAAATTTTTTAGAGACTTAACGACAATTTAAATTGAATGATGAATATATATATATATATATATAACAATCTTTTTTACATCTACAATGATTTACTCATCCACCAAAATCTAACAACTTTGCCTTGGGGTGATCTAATTCTGGGGTTGGCATCGCTTAATTTACACTTGAGGACAATTTCCCGCTCGCATAAACCTTCACAATTTACTCATTTTCACATCTATAATCTATATCTATAATATATTAAAATATCACATCGAGGAAGAATTATTTTTTAGACGATTTTAACCCTCATACAATACAATTATATCTTACTGTTCGTTTTTCTATATGTAATAAATACTACATAATTATTATCATTTATAAAATTTGTGTTATTAATTCTCAATTAATTACATTCATATCAACCTAGATTCAATGAATTTTCACTTAATGAATCTTGAATTACATGAGTCCAAAATTATTATAAATGAATTTATTTATATTCATATATCTAGAAATTTTCATGGGTGTTTACATTTATGTATTAATAATTAATTTTTATATATCAAATGTAATATATAATGATTGCTCATTTATAGCATTTCATTATTACAAAAATTTGAACCATAGAAATTGAGTTTTGAGAGTAAAATTTTCTTCTCTTAAGTTATTATGCTAAATGTTATTTTCTTTAATTCGTGTGACACTCATCAAATTTGCCAACAAATTGGTACCAAATATTTCTTTTACATCACTTATAAAGTATTTTAGAATAATGTGCACGTTCAACTTTGATTATTCTATACAAAAGTCGTGGAAATGGAATTTAGCCCCTGTTTGATCCCCGTTAAATTAAATTACATTACATTACATTTTTCTCTCTCCTATTTTCAATCACACAATCTTTCATAAAATAATATTACCCGTAAATCGAAAACTTTTCATTCTTTTTCAACCACTTATTTTTCTAAAAAATACTATTCCCCCATTTTCTTTTTCAGGTAATAGGGATCAAACAGGGGCTTAACCACAAACCTTTGCTGTTACAACTTAAAGGTACGAAAATGACTAAAGGGATTTTAGACCTTCTGAATATCATCTTGACCAAATAAGCCCTTGTTTGAGCCCCATTTTTTCAAAAAATCATTTTTTCTATATTCGTTTTCAATCACACATTATTCAAGAAAATAATATGACACGCAAATTTAAAACTTTTCCTTAATTTTCAATCACATAGTCTCCATCAACCACTATTTAAAAATACATTCTTTCACTTAGAATGTGACTCAAACAATGGCTAAATAAATAAAAAGACGGTTGACTAAAAGGTAAGACAATTAATGGTTAGGAACTAAGGAAAGACTAACCCCATTTTTTGAAATAATGTATGATTTGCTAGGAGAATTTTTTTAGTGCTTCACAACAGTGAATGATAAAAATAAATGAACTTTCATTATTATTTTGTCACGTTTGATTCAGCACTTAATAGAAAAATATGTTAATAGATGCTTTAGCGACAGCAGATTCAACACTCAACAAGCAACCGAGATCGCTTGCTCTGGATCTGTTGGTATTATTTTTTTTGGTGTTAATGCATGTTGTTTTCAATATGTATCTAGTAATTTCATCTGTAAAGGATCCGTTTTGTAAGCCAAACGTCCAGTGTTTGACTATTTACTAGAACAATTCTTAATTTAATTATTTTAATTTAATATTTTTTTATCATTTTTGAAATATTGTTATTAAAACCAATGCAATGGGGAAAAATTCGAACTATGGTTTCCTTTGGAATCGACGAAAGTTTGACCACTATGGCATTTGGTGGGTGTTAACAATAAATGAACATAAATATATATGTTCAAATTTTGAAAAGATTCGAACAGATAGTGAAACTGGTGCAATTGAATATTTCAAACCACGCTCCTCTGTAAAATTTTGGAATGCCTTACCACTTTAGCATTTGATGAATGTTGTAATCAAATATAACGTTAATATAATAATAGATATATTTGATTTTTATTGCAACCATTGTCGGCAGACAGTCAATGACCGCCTGTGTTCACTCGAGCTCGTGAATTCTCCCTTGAGCTTTAGCTATTGTTTGAGCCCCATTTTGGAAAAAGCTTGAAAGAATGCCTTTTGAAATAATAGATTGATGAAAAATGTGTGGTTAAAAACGAAGGAAAAATTTTGGGATTTGCATGTAATATTATTATATTGAGAATGTGTTGTTGAAAATGAGTTTTAAAAAATGAACTTTTAGAAAAATGGGCTCAAACAAGAGCTTAAACTAGATAAAATTCTATGGTTTCAATCTATGTATAATAATTTACATCAAAAGTTCTTAAATTCTTCCCATTTATGACGTGTTTGATAATACAAATTCAACAATGATGTATAATGCTAAAAAAGAGGGGGTGGGGGTTGTCATTGTAATCTAAAAAATTCATCTTTTTCATCGAAGTCATTTTTGATTGCATGAAATCTACAATTTTTATAAATTTTTCAATAACACATTTCATCAAATATTAAAATCTGCTAAACATTTGATTTTTAGCTAATCGTGAAATATGTAATTAAAATAGGGATACCTGTAGTTGCGATCCTAAACCTTTCAAATTTTTTTTTTTTTTGTAGACTTTATTCAAATATTTGAATTGTGCCAACCAAGGTCTCGAACCTTTCATTTCATAACTAAGCAAGGACAAATGAAGGGATTCTATTTGTTTGACCGTTAATTGATTAGAAATGTTGATTTTGAACATGCTTTGACCAATTTAAAAAAGGATACAGTGGTAAATTTACATTTTTTTTCAAATAATTTAAAGAAACAGAAAAAATTGCCTCCCACGTCGCCCACTTCATCTTTCTTAACAACCCCGAACCCACCACCGCCACCCATCTTATTCTCCATTGACTCCCTTCTCCTTCTAGGGTTTTTCATTTTCTTCTCCAACTCGTACTTGATTTTCTCTTGCACATACTTTGGCACCCCATCTTGTTTAGAGTACTCCACACATTCATTTACGCATATAAATAGGTAAGGAATTTTATTATTTGAATTGTTTAATTCCTTCTTTTTATTTTATTTTATTTTTTGTTCAGTTGCTTTATGAAATAGAACATTCCCAATGTAGTTTTAAATGTTTTAGTTTCGTTTCTGCATGGTTTATTTATATGCAATTTAATCTTAATTGTGGAAGCATGTTGAGAAAAAACAGAGCTTGGTTAAAAAATTCCTAAATAACTTGAATGTCATCTGTAATTTCTTGAATAAAAAAAAGGATGTCTGGTTTAGAGGGCTTCTCCTTGAACAGTAAAAATTATTCCATGTTTTTTTCATTATTTCATTTTTGTTTGCTTCAAACTGGGATATCTGCACAAAATTAGTTCAATTGTTAATAGCAAATGTACACTTTTTTCTTCAACTAAACACATGATGCAGTGACTTGATTTCTCAAAAAATAAAGAAAAATTGGTGTTTTAGGACGAATAAAGCATGTATATATAGGCCTATACATTCGAAATCAACGTGTGAGACATATCTAATCCAAGGACCAGATTTGAACCTATAGAGTACACTTTTTTTTCTTGAAGCAATGGTTACACTTCCACCATCTCATATACATCATTCAACCATAGAATGCCCCCAGGGCACATCTCCAAGTGGTAAAAGGGGAGGGTGGAGAAATCCAACTTTGCGTGAGGCTGCTGCGTCAAGAGTTCGAATCCTGAAATATGGATTTGGCTCTTGGGTAAGTGCAAGTGTACAAGCAGTCTTCCACCCTTGGAGGCATAACCTGCGATTTACCTCCCTCACGATGCTCCAGGGCAGGGGTGGTGGGGGACCCTTAAGGTTAGGGTTTAACCTTTTTTTTTTAACCATAGAATATTGTGCACAGTTTTCTAGGCCTTCTAATTAAAAGTTTCGAGTCTTATAACATTCTAGAACTGAAACAACAAGGCTATTCATGATTGGTTAGGGAAATTCTTGATCCCGCATAAAGCAGGAAATCCTGACCCAAATGGTAAGCGGGGCTAGGACGGCATGGGAGTCTAGTTCCCCAAATCTTTTTAATGTGCTTTATTTTTGTATTTTCAAATTTAATTGTATTTGAAAATTGAAAAATATTGCCCCTATCTGTTCCCAACCTGCTTTTTGAAAAATTTCCGATTGAGCAAGGATATGATAATGGGGCTTAGACTCAGTGAAAATTTAGTAGATGCATAAACTTTCACAATCTAGTCATCTTCTCATCTATACAAAAGCCATGGAAACGAAATTTAACTGGTCTTTTCTGTAACTTTTTAAGGTACAAAAAAGGACTAAATAGAGGTTAGACCTTCCTAAAATCAATTTGACCAAATAAACAAGTGGAAAGAATGTTCTCTTTTTTATTTTATTATTATTATTTTTTTTTATAATTCTGGTATCCAAATTTCGCATGATTAATCCTGAGGAGTGGCAGCCTGCCCCCCAGTTCGTCACCCGGGTAAATCCGGATGCAGACACAGCTTATACACACTTGGACCGGACATTCGGGATGCGGTTGACCTCTCTTTATGACTTGCGGACAGGACCTCGGAGGGCCGACAAAGCGTACAATAATTTTGTCTCCACAGGACAACTGTCTTCCAACATAAATGCTACCTTCCAGCTGTCGTGGGGATTCGAACTTCCGATACTCCGTGTGGAACTCTCCTGCTTTACAAATGGAAAGAATGTTCACTAATAGGTAAGGTGGTCAATGGTTAGAGACGGGAGGATTAATCCATTTGGTTGAAATAATAGATGACACGTTTATTAGAAAAACTATTAGTACTGTACGATAGTAAATAATAGAAGAAATGAACTTTTTTTTTATTATTTTATCACATAATTATGTTAAAAGATGCTTTAAACTTGATAAAATCCTACGGTTTCACTCTATGTATAATAACCTACGAGTAAATTTAACCAATAATCACTGAACTTTACACTTGATTACTACTTGCTCATTCATCTTTCACATATTACTGAATGCTCACTCATCTTTTCATATAATTACTCATTCATCACTCGTCTCTTCAAATAATTGGGCGACTTTTACGGCAAATTTTCGACAACTTCCGAACACAAAGAATGTCGAATTTTGATACCGTTGGAAAGCCCACGATGTCCTCTTCAATTACCACCCAAAATCTCATCTTTTCATATAATTACTCATTCATCACTCGTCTCTTCAAATAATTGGGCGACTTTTACGGCAAATTTTCGACAACTTCCGTACACAAAGAATGTCGAATTTTGATACCGTTGGAAAGCCCACGATGTCCTCTTCAATTACCACCCAAAATCTCAGTATAACTCCAAGGGATTCGATCGAAAAATTGCCTTAAAAGTCGCCCAAAAATTTTGAAAATCTGCCAAGATTTTCAGATTTTTTGGGCGACTTTTAAGGCAATTTTTCGGCAACTTTCGACCATCAAAACTATCTAATTTTGATACCATTGGAAAGCCCACAATGTCCTCTTCAATTACCACCCAAAATTTCCCGATAACTCCAAAGGATTCGGTCGGAATAAACTCACAAAGTCAACATCCCGAACTTTGTCCAGATTTTCGCATTTTCAAGATGCTGATTTTGTGGGTTTATTCGGACCGAATCCTTTGGAGTTATCGGGAAATTTTGGGTGGTAATTGAAGAGGACATTGTGGGCTTTCCAATGGTATCAAAATTAGATAGTTTTGATGATCGAAAATTGCTTTAAAAGTCGCCCAAAAATTTTGAAAATCTTGGCAGATTTTCAAAATTTTTGGGCGACTTTTAAGGCAATTTTTCGATCGAATCCCTTGGAGTTATAATGAGATTTTGGGTGGTAATTGAAGAGGACATCGTGGGCTTTCCAACGGTATCAAAATTCGACATTCTTTGTGGTCGGAAGTTGTCGAAAATTTGCCGTAAAAGTCGCCCAATTATTTGAAGAGACGGGTGATGAATGAGTAATTATATGAAAAGATAAGTGAGCATTCAGTAATATGTGAAAGATGAGTGAGCAAGTAGTAATCAAATGTAAAGTTCAGTGATTATTGGTTAAATTTACTCAATAACCTACATCAAAAGTTCTTCCATTCTTCCCTTATATGGCATTTTAGGTAATACAAATTCAACAATCTATACAATGCTAAGAAAGGAGGAAAAAAAGTTAAGATCTTGTATATTGTATTATCCAATAAAGTTTAATATTAAATACCAAACATGGGGATCTCGAAGCAACAAACTGTTAAACAAAAATAGTGAGATTAAAAGAAGAAAAACTCATTAGAGTAATAGATTATTAGAAATATTATTATTCAAAAAGAGGAAAATGGAAATATTTACAAGTTCAGCAGCATCAGAATTATCGTCTTTAAATTTTCCTTAAAAAAAAAAAAAAATTGGTTATGTATCAAGAGGTAGTATGAGATAAAGAGTATTTTTTTCTTCCCAATAGATCAAAATATATGCATGAATTGATCAACTGCCCAAATGAGAATTCTTGAATATCCCATTCCCCAACAAATAAAAAACTACTCTCGTAGTAGTTACAAATTCTTGTTGAGCACGTATATCAAGTTTCCAAATCCCACCTGATGCATAACTTATACTGTTGTACCTTTTAAACTAACTCGATTGTTCTGTTTATAATCTATTTAAATTATAAATATATAGAAATAAAATAATAAATAAGTATATAATAGTTGTAGGTTCCACAAAATATGTGAATGAAAGTGATTCGCTCAATAATAAATAAATTATGAACAGCTGCCAAACGTGCAATAATTTACATCCATCTACTCGACTATAAGTTTTGTGTAGTCTTTGAACAAAGGTCCAATAAACTAAGCAATTTCTTTTAAATGAAACTAAATGATCACACAAGTGATTATCATAAATGTGTTGGATTATGCTACCAAAACTTTTTAGGGCTATATTGGACATTCATACTTCTCTTTTAGGTCATCCTAGTCTCTACATTATACGAGGATACGAGGAAGGGTCATTTTCCAGTGTACATGAAAGATAGAGGTGTGAAATCTCCCATTGTGAAACATTTTGCATAGAGAGTTGATATGGCTCTATACACTGAGGGTGATCGAACCACAAAATGTTACATTTCGTAGGCTTTGCAACTGCCTCCAGCATTTAAAATTTGAGTATAAAGGCAAGATAGTTGAAAAATGAACCAAACTCTAATTCATGGGAGAAGTAAATAAACGAATCTAAGAAAAGAATATCTGTTTTCTCTTATGTATGCTCATCACATTCAAGTCCTTCCGCTGCTTTTGGCATAAGCTCTTTTGTGTAAATGTAGTGTCGTCTCTCCCTTCCATTTACCACGAATAAAAGTAGAGAATTTGTTGATAACAATAAATGACATGACACTTTTCGATCAAATTATGAGAATTTAGACAGAATAATATATTATATAACTGAAAATTTGAATAAAATTGTAAAATCCCGAATTTTTAACTTAAATTCGAATATATTTTTATTTGTCATTTAATAGGAATGCAATGTTTGGTTAAGTTCTTATGCAAGTTAATTGATTATCTCTATAGTTATCTTATTAGTTGAGCGACCAAATTGAAAAAAAAAAAAATATCAAATTATTTTATACTTTATTAAATGGGCCAAATAGTTAACTATTGAAGGAGTTAGAATTACTCTACCAATATTGGGTTCATTTTGAAGTTCATAATAAATGGCGAATTATGGACTCAAGAAAAATTTAATTTGGTCAAGTTAAACCCGAGTTTTAGCCGTCTAAAGAATATTGTTGTTATAAGAGTTTTAAAGGATTAGATTTTTCGCCAGTTGACTGCCATCACTAGTTTAGCTAAGTAAATTAGAATTTTAAGTTTTGGTTAAACAAAGTCTTTATATTAAGTATTAATAATTATACATTTTTAATTAAGAGGTAATCAATTAAAACGTAATTCCTGCTTACAAATTTAGTTAAATGCACATCAAAGGAATTTGAATTATTTGATGTTAGACTTTAGTACATGAGTAACCCATGCATTTCATTACAACTTTCACGTGTCCATATAATTAGTAATCATTGTGTCCCCTAATTGGAACAAATTTTGGGAAGATTGGACTGAAATTCTAATTTAATTAATAAGCATACATTTTATAATTTTCGGCCATTAGGAGATTGACAATTTAAGATGTTTGTATTAGAATAAATTATGCAAATAGGAGGTAGAATTGTTTTCCCCGTCCACGTGTAAAAGTCATGCAGTGTAATACCTATCATTTCCTTGTTGTAATTGTAATTGATATAGAAATTGGCAGAAAATCAATAATTAATCTCCAGTCATACTATATCAATTGGGAATTATAAATCAATTTCTCAGAAGATTGCATGAAATACGAATTTAAATATGGCTGAAATTCCACTTCCCCCACGTGATTACCCGACTTCAACAGTATAAATAGAGGACTAAAACCACATTCTACTACACGTCCATTACCTCTCCCTCTTTAAAATATTCCTCTACATTACTTAGATTTTTTAAGGCTTTGGAATTGCAATCACATTTCTGCAATTTTATTCTCCACTTTCATCTTCAAAAGGTGAGATACTCAGTGCTATTAGTGGTTTTTCCAAATCTTTTCAAATACGTTATTATGAATTTAATTACTTCAATTCAGGCTCCTTCGGGAGAAATCATGATACATTTTAAGGCACAATTTAGCCTTCACGTTATTTTCAAGGCACAATTTAGCTTTCACGTTATTTTGCAGCACTTGCTAGAATTATCATTTGTCATGGTGTGATAATTCTCATATTATGTTGGTAAGATAATTTATTTGTAATTTCATGTTTGACTTGAATATGGAGTAGCAAGTATCTCATTGAGTATAATTCGTTATACTCATCCCCTTATTTACAATTTTCAGGTAATAATTAGTATGCTGGACGGCGGTGGATAGATTTGCTATTGGACCAACGGATCCTCGTCATGAAGTATTTTAATTTTCAAAAACACTAGAACTAATAATGGGTTATTCATTTTTGACCCAATTGTGAGTGCATTATAAATTTTCAATTAGTTTTAACTGTTCTAATAATTTTTGGATGAATGATATGTTTTCAAACGTTCCGCATATTTAAATTTATCTTTTGATTAAATGTTATTCAATATTTTACAGAATTTCTCGTTATATTAAAACAGTTTATTTCAAGATATATTCATATTTCGTACCGTTTCGGGTTATTAGAATTCGGGGCGTTACAAAAATAAAGATGTATTGCTGAAATTCATACTTCGTATTGTGGAGAGATCCATCAGTTTGGCCTTTCTCACTAGACCTTCACCTTTTTATATAGACCATTAGACTTGAGCTTGTCATCCTCGTCATCTCAAGCTTTTCGATCAACTTATGGACTTTGCTACGTGTATATTAAACTTTATATAATTGGTTTCATAATATCATGTCATTCTATCATTAAGAGGATTAGTATTACCAATTTCAAAACTAAGAATAAAGGTTTCAAAGTTCAAAAATCAAATATTTATTAAAATTTATTTATGAATGAATTAATTATATAGTTTGTTAATCAAATAAATTAAAGTCACATATCTATACAATTTGGTCACAGATTAACGACTTAATTAGTCATATTATTTTTCGGTCACAAATCAGAATTTTTTTTGTCACAAATTATTTTGCTATCACAATTTAAAAATTTTATAGATCACAATTTGTTCATCGATCACAAATAAAAATTTTATAAGTCGCAATTATTTATCAGTCACAGATCACAAATATTATAAGTTGCAACTTTTAAATAAGTTAACAATTTATTAGGTCACACAGTATTTTTCAGTCAGAATTTATCTTTTTCCTTGGTCACGTATAGTTTTTTTTTATCACAAATAAAATAATTTAATTATCACAATTAACCAAATAATGCGTGACAACAACCAATGCTTGTGACTACTACTTCCAGCAGCACCACCACCACCTCTCAACAGCAATACCATCACCTCGAACAAATCAATACATCACATAAAAATACCACCACATTGTCGCGTTAGATCCACCATCACCCAGCCAAATCGCCACCCAAACATCACCAAAAAAGCTTACCATAGCCAAAAATCTAATGTAGTAGCTAGAGCCATACCCACCCCCATAGCAAACATCACCACCATCGCCACTGTCGCCATAATATCAAAATCACCGCTGTTAATTTCACAATCTCAAAATCACCAACACACCATTGTCTAGCCATCTCACGATCTCAAAATAACCATTGCAGCGATCAAATCACCACCACACCTCCGTCTAGCCATCTCACGATCTCAAGCCACAGTTGCAGCACTCAAATCAGCCGTGCACATTTGCGATTTGAAAATGCCGTTGTGCAGCTTCTCTGTACCGTACAGAGCGACTTCTCTATCCAGTACCGCTGTGTAGTTGTCGCTGTGAGCAGAAGAGTGATGGTTTTTGGCGGTGACGGTCCATGTGTGAGGAAGAGGGAAGAGAGTGACGTTAGAGGCGGTGATGGAGAAAGAAGAGATAATGAAGAAATATAGAGAGAAGGAAAATGAGAAAACGGGTAAGGTTTGGGAGTAAAATATGGTGGTTGAATTGAGGTAGGATGGGTATATAAATTAATTTAATTTTATAATAATAATAATAATTATTATTATATTATTATTAAAATGTATAATTATTATTTAATTTTTGTATAAACAAATTTTAAACTTGAATTTTGGGTCCCGTTTGAGCCACATTAATCAAAAAATGAGATATAAAAAATATAATCGTTACAGCATTTTGAGTCTCACACAAAAAATAAAAAGTCAAATATAAAATTTGATGTGATGGATAATTGTCATATTTCCATTTCAACTTTTGCCAACATCAAGTAATCCTTCTAAGGTCTTAACGGGCCTAATGGACTTATTCGGCTTTATAGGTGATCGGGTTGATCCAAAACAGGCCTATTTTAGGGTTTCGTGGTTTCCATATAAAAATCTACCTTTCTTCTTCTTTACTAATGCTGTTGTGCGCCAGGGTTTTTCGCCTCCTTATCAGATTTTGAAGACACACCTGCACACACTCTAGAACTACTACACCATGGCGGAACAGGTATTTAGATTTAAAATTATATTAAATGTTTGTGTATCTTGCGTTTGTGTCTGGAATTTGTGGTGATCTGAATGAATCTGAGTTGTAATTGATTTGCAGACTGAGAAGGCGTTCTTGAAACAGCCCAATGTGTTTATTTGGTAAGAGATTGTGTACATTTTTTAGAAGTAATGATATGTTGCTACTTTATTGCCGTGTGTTAAGTGTGGTTGGAGAGTAAAGCTGAGGTTTTGCAGCTCGAAGAAGACGGGGAAGGGCAAGAGGCCAGGAAAGGGAGGCAACCGATACTTCAAAAGCATTGGGCTGGGGTTCAAGACTCCTCGTGAGGCTACTGAAGGTGGAAATTTATCCGTTTATTCATACAAATTTATGATCTTATTGTTATTAAAAATAAGATGTGCACGAAACCTATCACCAAAGGTTACACCTTTTGAAATTTGGATAGTCAAAAAATTGTTCTGGGGTTATGTGATTGCCTGCTTATCTGATAGAAATATTGCATATAATCATTTTGTTAGTACAAGGTGTAATTTATTTACATATTGGTAACTTGGTGAGCTTGTGGCACAATTTCAACAAAATGTATATAAGCTGGGAGTTCATAGATTCACTAAATGTGAGTTCCTTAGTTAATCTTTTGTTTGAAGCTAAGAAGCACAGACACGGACAGGGGTAAAATGGTAGAAATATTAATTTACATAAATTTTGACCACCTCTTTGTTAAAGGATACATCTGGACAAAAAATGTAAATTAAAGTTTAACTAACAAAAGACATTGTATAGATTATTGGGCCGACCAATTTAAAAAATTACATTGGTTTATTAAATATAATGCCTTTTCATCTTTCTTGCACGTCTCTTCAGAGTTAATTGTTCCAACTTTGGTCCAAGTCTTTGACTTGTTACTGAAATTTAAAATCTCGAGTTTTGATTACTGAACTTAGGTTCATGTCTTCGACTGTTCATTAAAGTTTAAATCAAGTTTTGACCATAGTATTTTAAAATTTTTTATACGCTACTTACTGTGAATTCGATATTTTTCAAAATTCAACATTTATGCTAGTGAGTAATATACAACATTTTCCAAAGTGCAGTGGTCTAAACTCAACATTTTAAACTTCAACGAACAATCGAATATATGTACTTAAGTTCAGTAACCAAAACTTGACATGTTAAACTTCATTGTCCAATTAAAGACATGAACCTAAGTTTAGTGACCATTGGAACAATTAATTCCGTCTCTTCATTTCCTTTTTCTTTGTTCTTTTCTTTTCTTCCCAAACTTCTTCCTCCTGTAATCATCAGTCACCGAAGTCTGCATTTTTCCAGGTATTCACTAGTTACTTATGCATTTCTTCCTCCCATCTATTTTCTTACTTATTTCTTCAAACCATCTACATTTCCTCAGTCGCGACACGCTGTAAGGAACTCCGACATGAGTTGGAGGCGTATCGGTGTCCGATACTTGTCGGACACAGATACATTCTCTCCGGCAGCATCTGTGCTTCAGAGGTTTGAAGAGTAATCGTGCTACTAGTTCGCTGGAAAACAATGTTTTATTGTAGGGTTTCACTTCCAAAATGGTTTAGGAACGTCTCCAGTCTAAAATTATTTAGGGGCTGTGGCAGGTACTGAATAGGTTTGTAGTGCACATGGAGTATGACCTTTCTTAATTTTATTTTTTCTTGATAGAAACATCAATATGAACTATGAGAAAAAAAATAAAAATAAAAAAAATAGAAACATAAATATGATTTCTGTTAATTTAATTTTATTTGATTCAGTTAAATTTTAAAGTCCAGCCTTATGCTAGGTTAAGAAAGTGTGTTCCACAGTGTCAGCAGTTACTGTCGTTGCTGTTTTGTGAACTTTTGGCAGATTCTTAATTTTTTGGGCTAATGAATTTCTGATGAGCCTAGGTGTTTTACTCTTCCTTCAGGCACATATATCGACAAGAAATGTCCCTTCACTGGTGATGTGTCCATCAGAGGCCGTATTCTTGCTGGGACATGCCACAGTGCCAAGATGATGAGAACAATCATTGTCCGTCGGAACTACTTGCATTGGGTTAAGAAGTACCAGAGGTATGATGTGATGAGTTTTTAGTATTGTTGCAAATCTCGTCTGTGTTGTGTAAATGCTTATTGTTAAGTATTTGATTATTTTCTAGATATGAGAAGAGGCACTCGAACATTCCGGCACACTTATCTCCATGCTTCCGTGTGAAAGAGGGTGACCACGTTATTATTGGCCAGTGCAGGTGCAGAATAAAAGCTTATTTATGTAACTTTTTTATGGTTTTGTTCTGGAATTTAATTTTATGATCTGAATCACTTTGCAGGCCTTTATCAAAAACAGTTAGATTCAATGTTCTTAAGGTGATACCAGCTGGTTCATCTGGTCTTGGCAAGAAGGCATTCACAGGAATGTAAGTTTGGTGATTTGGATTAAAGAGTTTTGAAGGATGGTTTAAGATTGTTTTACTTCTTTCATTTGGTCGATTGTCACTCCTGACTTGCCCCACTGGCTTAATTTCTTTTTGAAGTTCCCAATTTGTATACTCTATTAGCAAGCTTTTGAATTTAATCCATCTAATTTATATTAATCTCTTATTAATTTGGATGTTCTCTATTTTATGCTCCCTTCTTTTATGGGCATGATGGTTGATATTTCTTTTTATATCTTGGTTTTACATGGATGACCGTCCAGACCATAATACAATTATAGCATCTCTGGTATGGTTACTTTCATCTGATTGATGGGTAGTACATGTATATATGGCATATAGAGCATGTCTGCCATCCTAAATAGATATTTCTCAGAAAAATGCTGGAACTCCCAAGATTAAATCCCGGGATTGGCTCCACCTTGGCCCTTGATTTGAATTTGGCGGGCCCCATGTGATGCAAGATCGAGGGCCGAGGTGGCAAGCCAAACCTGGGATTTAATCCCGGGCTCTGAAGCTTCTCTGTATTTCTTATGGCTGCCTTGCGTGCTCCATGTTCTGTTGTGTTTTGTGCATATATTTAATTAAAAATGTCTGGTTTTGCAATGTATTAGAAAGCAGCCCCAAACATATTGTGTTTGGTGCGAAGCAAGAAATTCCCCTTGCTTGTAATGAAATTGATGTGATCTTGATGCTCTCTTTAGAACACGGTTTTATTATAATTTTTTCTTTAATTTTTAAGCTAGTTCGTGTCAACTTCTTCTCCTTTTGACGACAGATTGTAGTGAATTAAAAGGGCTATTATTTATAGAATTACTTTTTTTTTAAATGCCAAAATGACTGTTGGGGACCCAACTGTTATTTTTGAAACTTGAACCTTTCAAAATTTATAAATTCTTGTGTGAATTTGATATAAATTTGAATTTATGTATGATTTTGATACCGCTCACACGTTTAATCAGTACGTGTATAATTGAAGATTAAATACTAAAAAATAGCTATAAAAACTTCACAAAATGGTGAGAAATTGAACACTCAATTCCCAATAGAGAATATTTGGTTATTTACAAGTAAAATCCTAAAAATAACACCTTCGAATAAAATTAACATTCACTAGTAAAATCCTATATTAAGTTAAAATAAAACTAATATTCACAAGTAAAATCCTATAATGAAGGAAAGAAAAATGCAACTCCCCAATGCAATATTTTCTAATTCAGATATAGAACAGAGAAAATTACTGAAACAACTCCTTAGGGAAGGCAATAATTTCACTTCTGGCTTCATCATGTTACTCCGTGGAGGCGCCTCCTCCTCCTCGGCCACCCACGGCAAAGGCACTAGGTGGTTTCATCTGCGGCGGTTATGTATCTAGTTTCAAGCAAATTAATTCAAATACTGATATCATTCTTGGTCGGGATTTCCGGAAGGTGGCTGCCGCAAAACTCGTAAGCATGATCATCATGATCGAAGTTGAGGGAGTAACTCAGAGGATCATAGCTAAAATCAGCAGAAGAATGGCGTCGCTGTCGCCCCATGCGTGATATAAGGTTCCTGCATTTGTGTTTGATTTCGGGGAGATCATGAGCCTTCGATCGAATCCACGCTGAAGGAGATTTCTTCGGAGTTGAAGGCGACGAAGAGGAGCCATCAAATGAATGGTTTCTTTGGAAGAAACAAGAAAGGCATATGGGAGACTTCTTTCTCCTCTCCCTTAAACTCGACATTTCATGCTCGTCACCCATTGATAATCAAATGAGGAAAATTCGAAATTTTAGTTCTTGCATGCATGAGATAATTATAGGTTAATGAATTAATTAATTTTGTTGTGGGATATGAGGTAACTAAGAAGAGATCAGCAGCAATTTGTGCAAAACCGTCAATTGGATCTCTAGTCTCCAAAAAAAACATTTGTAACTTCTATTTTTATTTATAAGTTTAAACGTTTATAAATACTTCCGAAACATGCTCCTAGAGTGCTTTAAAATGTGTGAGAATGACGACACTTCTTAATGACTTAACCTCGACTTATTTTCGTGATGATATCAATTTTAATAAAAAAAAAAAAAGGAAAATAAATAAATTCGGTTCTCATTCATTACCACTTGCTTTGCTAGGGAGGGAGCTTTCCAATTTAGATGAACTCGGTCACCCGAATTGTCTGGATGTAATGTATTTAGAGATCTAAGCATCTCAAAATAAAAGCTCATTTACTACAAGATGGTAAAAATTAAAAACAAATCTTAGGTTGATCGATCAAAACGTATTACAAAAGATTAAGAACATGTTTGAGTAGCCTTTAAAAGGTGGAGCTATCTTATATATGAAATAAGCACTTATATTAAAAAGTTGATATGTTAAGCACATATGTTTGGGTTTACTTATGAGCTTTTGGTTGTGCCAAATTACGAATATATGCATGCACTTAAGGTTACACGCTTAAGGTTATGGTAGCCATCAATGAGCCTTGTTTGGTAGCAATTTTTCACCCAAAAATTAAATTTTTAATCATTATTTCACTATTCTAACCATAATATTTTATCTCTCACTTACAAATGGGACCCACTTTTCTCTTTAATGGTAAAAAATTCAATTATCATAATTACTACCGGACATGCACTAAATATGGAATACGCCTAATTAATGCTCTAAAAGTCTTCTCCTCGAGTTATAAATATTTAACTTGTACCAATATCAGTCCCCCTCTCTCCCCCCTCCAATTCCAACCCCTCATCTTCCATTTCGTCGTACCTGTCTCAAACCTTCAAATAATGCAGTTGAAAAAATTAAAATAAAAAAAGGATCAAGCTAAAGACAACAAGAAATGATATAATTTGTACATATTAAAAAAAGAGAAAGAAAGGTCCTCCATGGAAATGAGTTATGCTACACATACAGAATTTTTACACAAGAAATTCTTCACAAACACAGGTGTCTAAACACCATTCAAAGATGAGAAAAAAACATAAAATATAGACGGACGGAGTTTTTCCATTTCAAAATCCTGTATGAATTCTGTAAGTTTTCCTATACTCGAGGAAAAATCCCGGGGAAATTGCTTTACCAAAGGACGAATTTGAGATCAAATGGAGATATATGATTAAACTGATATTCTCAAGCTCAAAAGACGATATGAATCTATGATTTTAGATTTTGTAGCACCTTCTACAAATGATGAAAGTTATTTCATTCCAAGTCCACAATTTTCCCAGTTGTGCAGCTCTATAGAGCTAGTCTTTTACTCGTAGTAGAACTTCACAACCATGGTCTCTCTTGCAATATTAAATCCACATTTGGTCCCTATTTTTAAAAACTCGTTTTTTTGAGGCTAATTGTAACCCTCTAAAACTTGAGTGCCTAAACTTATGAAGTTCTCGTAGTGTAACAAGAGAGCTACTCGAATGTTAGAATCAAGAATAATGATAGTCAATTCCACCGCAAGATCAATGATACATTGTCCATCGATGGATGTAGTGGAATAGCATTATTCTAGAATCTATACATCCTTCCATTGAATCTGCCAGTTACAATTCATCTAGATAGAATTATTCTAAGATATAGATGCAAACAAGGAAATATTAGGGATTGAAACTTGATTTAACTGAAAAGATAAAAGACAACTCTCCATTATTCACTACACACTACACTACTTGTTACGAGTTGAAACGCCGAAATCTAAAATTACGAGAAACCAGAAAGAGAATGAATATACGGAGACGAAAAGACGGGGATTCGAAGGGTGAAATAATCAGAAAAAAATGTACGGTCGATCTATGGCGCGGAAACTCTGACGAATCTTGGAGTAGAAGCAAAAGGAAGATTTCTGAGGATGAGAAAATGAACCCGCCGGGGAAAAGGCAGCGGCGCCTGGTGGAACACGAGCTCCAAAGCTCTGGTCAGCTATTTTATTTATTATTTATATTTTGCCAGAGAAACAACGGGCTGATTAATGAGGACACAGAGCTTAATGTTACAATTGGGCTAAATGCCAGTGAGCAGCAAGCTTACGTACGTGATGGTAAGTGAAATCTGGTTTCTTGTTACGTACATTCGATTGTTAAAAATCAAATGATTGATTGTTCAGGTCACGAGTTCAGCTCAATTCTTAATAATAGAAGTAGTTTTTAATGCTTTTCGATCGTCCTTATCCACAAGCAGGAATGCAATAACACATGCTTTCTCAAGCAATTTGGAGATGGAAATGGATTTAAACTAATAATATATTGATATATACACATCAAGGGAAAGGGTTAGAACACTGTTATGCACCGAGCTCGCCGTCTTGTTTCAGCTTAGTTACCGAACTTTTCTTTCATATAAAAATGGTCGAAGTTATCGTTTTGTTTCAGTTCAACCACTCCATCTGTCTCCTTTTGACACTCCTGTGCTTAGTCCTGCAAATTTGTTTCAGCTCAACTTCTCTTCAAGCATTTAATATTCCTTTCTTATAATTATTTAGGAAAATTCCTTGTTCTAAGGGATCAATCTTGTTGAAGAATTATGATGGGCCGACCAATTTTGTCCACAATTATTGGTAAAAATGCAATTATACTCATTACTGAGGAAAACAAAGTATCCAAAGATGCGAAGACTTTTGACTCATATATATATATATTTTTTTTTTTTTAATAAATGGAAAAAATTTTAATTATATTAAAAATCATTAATCTTTATGTATTATCGCACTTATATTCTTGACTTTTTTTTTTCATCACATTCTTATTTTTAATATTTATTGACAAAAAATATTACCCTTAATAATTTGTTTTATCCAAAAATATTGTTAACGTACTTTAATAAGAGTCAAATATTGAGTTTGTATTTTTACATTATTATATTTTTTTCTTATTTAAAAATATAATGAGCAAATTCTATCTGAAAGAAAAATTTGGAGAGAAACAACAATCATGAGCAATTTATGATTATTTGAGAATAAGAATAAGAGTGAAAAAAGTTTGAGACATAAATGTAATAATGTGTGAAGGTTATAAACCTTTGTGCAATTAAAATATAATGTGGTTATTAAAAATTATGGCGTGAATATATTTAGTAATTAACTGTTTCGATGTTCTTACTATTTATTTATTTTCATACTTATGATCTAATTTTTGTTATTAAATAATTAACATATTTTGTCCCTAAAAACGATTTCAATCCAAAAATATCTATGAGGAGGATATAAAAAGATTATTTGCCCCTTATATTTTAAATAGAAAAGAAAAATAACAAATATAAAAGTTTAACAAAATATTTGTGTCTCATTCCAAAGTACGCTTTAGCAAAATATTTGGACAAAAATTGTCATCAGAGATAAAATATGTTAATTACTTAAAGAATAAAAAGTTGCAACGTAAATGAAATAGTAAGCAACCGCTTTTGAAATATGTTGCATTAAATAAAATTGTGAGGTCAATATTTAAAAATTGAAAAAAATAAAAATCATTTGTTTATTTGGTAAACCGTAGGTTAGATTTACTTTTTCCAAAATTAAATATTAATATTAACATTGCAAACTTAAAACTATAGGGAAGTTTACTCTACTTAAAAGTCGAATGAAAATAAATCCTATTTATCCAATCAGGTTAAGAATTATTGTTATCACAGTTGCTATAAAGCATTTAAGATCCATCGTTACAACCTTCAAAGGTTGGGACCTCATGTGCAATTTATCCTTGATTTCATTGGTTGTTGACATCTAAAAGTACATAAATTAAAAATGAGAGGAATTTTTTTTTTTTTTGAAAAATGTAATACAAAGAGCTAAAGCAAAGAGTTGTTGGAGAGTGTAAAATTTCTCTTTAATGTAAAAGATGTTTTGTATTATCATATTATGTACAATATGCTCCTTAAATAGAATTTTTTTTTTTCGAGATAGATCATAAATTAAAATAGAGAAATTTGGTCGAGTAAACATGTAAAATAATGTCAATACTTGATAGAAGAACTTAAAATAAAGAACTATGGTGAAATTATAAATCCTAACATTTTAGACTTTCATGTTAAAATAGTTCATTAGAAGTTAATTAGGTCGATAATCAACAATTGAATAACACTTGTTACTACTCTTAACAATGTCGCACATTTTCAATAATAAAGAACGCTAAAGATTGTGCTTTTCCAATTGAAATAGTTGGATGCAACGTTCTCCGTTGGATTGGAAGTTGATTGTCCAACTCTATGTTTACCTTAAATAGCGAGGTTCGTGGATTGATTCAGCAAAGTGTCAACTCTTTCAAGTAAATCAATTAATTCATAATTTAATTTCCAATTAATTTTCTTGTCCTGCTCTACCTTGAAAACCTTCTCCTACAGCCACCCCAACCCGCCGACAATATATAAACAAATTTCTACTTCATCTCTTTCTTCAAAACCTTCGTTAGTTTTGCCATTTGCCTCCATCCCGCCTTCTTCGTCTGCTCGATCGTGAACTTGCACTTGAAAACCATTAGTGCTCAAAGTGGTTTCTTAGTCACGGGTAATTTAAGGGTTTGATTGCACTTCTCCTAATAGTATGAAGCGTACGAATTTTTTTTACTTACAAATGACAATATTTTCAGCAGTAGTGCTAATATACAACATAATCATATCATCAAATGCACCCCTCAAGCAAGATTTCCCAGGCCCTTTAAACNTATTTTCAGCAGTAGTGCTAATATACAACATAATCATATCATCAAATGCACCCCTCAAGCAAGATTTCCCAGGCCCTTTAAACCCATCAAGATCTTCATCATTTTCAAGAAATAAAGTAGAACCCATGATCAAGATGACCACAAAATCTTCATCGTCGTCGACATCAAGATTCAAGAAAAAGAAGAGGCTGTTCCACACTTCAGTGACAGCTTCAGACTCGATATACAGCACATGGCAATGCAGGGTGATGTATTACTGGTTCAAGAAACACAAGGATATGCACAATTCTGAGATGGGTGGCTTTACAAGAATCTTGCATTCTGGACAATCTTCGCTTCATGGATGAGATACCCACTTTTGTTGCTCAGCCCCTCTCATCTGTCGTACATCAGGTTTCTATTTTTTTTTTTTTTTTTCCCGTTAATCTTCACTACCTTTTTAATGTTATTTACGATTCGATTACGTTAAGGAAGTTTGAGGAGTGTTGAAACATCTCATCTAAAAGTATTTAGCCATTAGAAAAAGACACGTTTTTTTCTTCTGTCACGGAGTGTTGCAATTTCAGGGATATATAGTCTTGAACAGACCTTGGGCATAGGTTTTTTTTTTTTTTTTTTTTTTTTCCCGTTAATCTTCACTACCTTTTTAATTTTATTTACGATTCGATTACGTTAAGGAAGTTTGAGGAGTGTTGAAACATCTCATCGAAAAGTATTTAGCCATTAGAAAAAGACACGTTTTTTTCTTCTGTCACGGAGTGTTGCAATTTCAGGGATATATAGTCTTGAACAGACCTTGGGCCTTTGTGCAGTGGCTTCAACAAGCACAAATTGAAGAAGAGTACGGAAATACATGTCAATAAATTCAATCTTCTCGTCAATTTCTGCCCTTCAGGCAATTAAATAGTATCATATGCATGTTAACATTATGCAGCTATATATTAATGGCGGAGCCAGATCACATTATTGTCAAGCCCATACCAAACTTGTCTAGAGACGGCTTTGAGGCTGCATTCCCTTTCTTTTACATTGAGCCCAAGAA